CAAGGAGTGGATCAGTGCAACAGAATGAAGTTGCAACTCTGTAAAGATTAGATATAGATTTTACTTTAATATCAAGCCCTTACGAAGTCTCAGTAGTGGAGTCAAACATCTGAGGAATTTTATGCTGCAGGAGTTGGTCCAGAATCCAAGAAGGACAGATGATGAAGGAGAAGCAAAGTCATAAGAATGAGATGGGAAAAAGCAGAAGAGAGAGTATAAGAGTACAGAATCAGGAGGAGAAGATGGGCCATGTAAGAAACCCAGAGATGTGAGCAAATGCTGGGTTTGGTCTCTTTTTTCAAAAAAAAGGGAAGAGAAATCTTCATGGGAACTTCCCCTACGTCATTAGCAGGCTGTAGAAATTCTGTAGAATTGGACAACTGCTTAGAGAAAATGAAATTGTATAGCAAGTGTTTATGAGAGGAGGAGGAAAAGAGAGAAGGAGAGAGAGAGAGAGAAAGAGAAAAAGGAAGGAAGGAAGGGGGAGAAGGGGGGCAGAGAGAGAAAGAGAGAAAGAAAGAAAAGGACAGAAAGAAAGAAAGAGAGAGAAAAAGAAAGAAAGGAAGAAAGAAAGAAAGAAAGAAAGAAAAAAAAGAAAAAAGAGCAAGTGAGCAGGGAGGAAAAATTCAGGCTGACCCCAGCATAGGAGAGCATGTTCAGTAACGTACAGAAATGTGGATGCCTCAAGCCTGGTTGACAGTGTTTCCCTCAGCCCCATTGCCTTTAAGGCATGAGTGGATTTGCAGGGCTGACAGTTGAAAGGCTGAATGGAAAATGCAAACGCCTGTCTTTGGTGTTTGCAGTAGGAGTCAAGCACAGCATCCCATGAGAGGCTGAAGCATTTTCCCAAGGCAGTGCCATTATCTGGGGAGAAAAAAAGTGTTTCAATTTTGGTTCCAGAAGAGCAAAAAGGAGGAACACTGGTGAGCTGCCTTAAAATTTGCTTCCTTCAGAAAACAACTCCAACAACATTATCCTCTCACTTTTACACATAGTCAGCAAGTGATCCTGCTCCCAAACAACTGATTAAAATGTGCAGCACTTACTCCTACCAGCACCGGGTGCTGAAGCCAGTGAGCTCTTCCATCAGGACAGAGGCCAGCCTTCTCCAAGAGGTTGGCTCATGTAAGGAATGCACAGGGATAGTCAAAACTTGAAATTCAAGACTTTTTTTTCTGCCACACACAACAATAAAATGTGGCAGAACACAGCAAGCCCACTGATGTGTGTCAGGGCAGAAGACAGTGTTTTCCAATCCTTGGAATTCAGATTGAGCCCCCTGAAAAATCATCCAATTGACCAAATGTTTTCAAGATAACAAAATAAATAGAATCAACCTTGCATGGTTTTTTTGTTCATCCTTTGCTTTATGATCCATGAGGTTACTCTTAATTTCCCTATTCCAACCATGAGAGCTACAAAAATAGAAAAATAGAAATGAAAACTGAGTTCATCGGACAAGACTACCCCCACCAACGTCAAGTTGGCCCTGTGTGGGTTTTGGAGCCCACCCAGGCAGAGCAGCTGGCAAGACCCATGCCTAAGATCACAACATACTCTGCAATTACAGCACAATGCTGACAACAGAGTTTTGTCAGTAAAATAAGAAGAAATAATTGTGAAGACATGTAGGGGATATGTAGGGGGGGCTAACTAAATAAAAGAAGCAATTTTGTTCACTATTTTTATGAGCAGTAGAGCAGGCTGACAGAAAGGTTATAGGATGGCACAGTATTTCCATCCACAGATGTCACAGGGGCACTACTGCACGTGATTTAAGATTAATCTCTTGAATCAAAATGCCACCATGTACACTAATGAGCAAAAACCTCTCAGAGTACCCATCCCTGGGGCTCCCATTCCCAGGTAAGAAGCTTGTCTCCGTACTATTGTAGAAACTCTCTCAGTAGACTGCTATGAGGTTGGTGGTATAATTTGCCCCCAGTTCACAATTTTCCATTTCAGACTCGCTGTCTCTGTCTTGGTTTCGGTCTATTTACTCGGAGCCATTTCTTAACAATGTCTAATTTCCTCAAGGAATCCCTCTGAGTCCCCTCTCTTAGAAATGCTGCCATATCTTTTTTTTTAATCACTGAAAGGCACAAATATCCTTCCTGAGCCCTCTTACCATCTAGCCTGATTATATACATAGATTTCAGTTTCCATACATTTTCTACACAGTAGGAGTTCCCAAAATGCAGCCTCTGGGGATACAAAGTGTGGCTCAATGAGATGAAAACAAAGCCAATCAGGTACTGTTCTTACTGTTAATGAGCCTAACCAGCAGGCTGTTATTACTCAGCCTGCAAGGCATATGTGGTTCGAATCATATCACATTCATTTTTTATTTATAGTGATACACATTCAAATTAGAAATAGCCCTCCAGCAGCTGGCATTTTGCCAGGGCCTGACCATCACTGTGATAAAATTTGAATATCTTGAAGATACAGAATGCTTTTTGTCCCCTTTTTTTTTTTTAATAGCATTCTTCTCTCCTCCTACTCAGAACTCCTGTGACTATCAAAAGTGGACAATGAGGCTTAAATTAATTTAGGATCCTGGCCCTTACTGAAAATGAAAGAAAAGAGTCTTTTTGCTTTCTTACTTGGTGGTGAGGTAAAAATCAAACATGAGCTGATCTTCTCGTAAATAAGCAAAGGCTCAAGCCTTCTGGCAAATAAAAGAGTAGAAATGAATGTTTGGACAAGAACCATAAAGAAATGGGTTCTTGGAGGAAATGAACATTACTAGCCTATTAATCTATTAATGGCAACTGTAAATACCTCACCCAAAATCACAGTGACTCTGAAACATTTAACTGGAGAGGCTCACAGAGCCTGGCCAAGACAATGTGATACAAGGAAACCACAGTAATTAGCCTCACCTTGCCAGTCATCGGTTTCCAATCTAACCCCTCCCCTGAGTTTAAGTTACAAACCTCAATAACTGTGTGGCAGACTTGACAGCAATTAACATTACTCAGCTGCCAGCTGGGTTTTAAAATCTCCCTTCCAAGAGATCTTGTTACGCAGGTTTTAAAAACATCCTGACAGGGTGCTGCTGCACGGCGAGGACCTAGGTTTTGCCTCGCTCAGCTCGGTGAGGTGGACTTGATGAATCAGTGGGAGAGGAAGGATAAATGGCACCAAGCTGTTGTTTGAAGCATGAAGCTTGGCATTTTTTTATGGGTTTGGTTTTGGTTTTTTTCTGATCTTCTCATCGAGGGGCTTCACAGAATGCATTATTGAGAAATTTTCTTTATTAGTTTATTCTTTAGTCCTGTGTATTGCTACTCATCTACACTAAGAAGCACGACATGCTGCGAAGGACTCCTTGACCATCACACCTCAGCATTCAGAGTTTACAAGTCAAAGAGAACCTTCTAACTCATCTAAAGCCAAGAAATCAGAGTTTTGTTGTAAGATAACTAGCTGGAGTCATACTCCCATCAGAGTTAAAACTAGCCCAGCGTGCGGGTGGCTCAGCCCCTGGCCGGGGATGACTGCCGGGCTGCGGGACCGGTCTGACCCCGGCTCCATGCCTCGGTCCCGCTGAGAGCTGACCGCTACCGACTCCCCCCCGCTCCCACCTGGATCAGGACGGCTTCCCCCGCCGCTCCGCGCGCGCCGGCGACCCCCCCCTCCGCGCCCATTGGCTGGGGGGGGCGTGGGGCGGCCGCCGTGGCTTGCGCCGGCCCGGCGGCCCGCCGGTGAGCGGCGGGCGCTCCCGTCCCGTCCCCGACCCCGTCTCGGTAGAAAGCCCTTCGCCACTGGGGCCGGCCGCTCTGAGCCAAGTCCGGTCAGCGCGCGCCGAGGCCGGCGCGATCGTGACAGGGAAGGGGGTTCGCCTCGGGGCAAACCCCCGCCCGGCCCGTCCTGCCCGGAGTCCCGCGGCTGTGGGGAAGCGAGGAGAAGGAAGGAGCGGCGGCTGGGAATGAGCGGCTGGACCGGAGGCAGCGATTTGCTGGCTGGCTGATTCTGCAGAGAAGGCGCCCCCTCGGCCGTCCCGCAGGGCTCTCGGGTGTCTCGTCCTGCGGCGCTGCCCGAAGAGCCGCGTTTAAACCTCTTGGCTGGGGGCACATCTGCGAGGCTGGAGCCGGGCGGGAGAGGTTAAGGGCGGCCGGCGGTGTCGAAGCGAGGCCGGCCAGCTTGTTTGGGACGCTGGCACCACACGTGTGCGCTGAGCCCTCCCTCCGCTCCCGCCCGCCGCCTGTCAGCGCGCGCGTGCGGCGGCCCCCGGCCGGCGGGGTTTGGCCGCTGGCTCGGGAAAGGAAGCGCCGTGGGTCGGGCACGGCGCCGGGGACGCGCGAGCTCCCGTGCCCGTGCGCCCGCCGTCGGGCAGAGCCCCAGAACCCGAGCTGTCCAGTGTCTGCGCTTCCCGGCGTGAGCTGCGTTTGGAGGGAGTGGAAGGAGTTTCAGTGAGTTGTAGGATGAGTTATCCTTCACGTTGCCTCGGCATTCTCTCTTCGGCATTTCCGAGGAGCTCTTCAAAAAAGGTCGGACTGTATTGCAGGAGGTTGAGTTAAACTTCTTGCTCTCTAAACCCTCTTTTGTTCACTGTTTGCTCTGTGCCTTTGCTGCACTTAGAGGAATGCCCGTATCCCAGCGGGGCTGACAGATGATCATCCATGACTGCCTCTTGGGGCCCGTAACTCCTTTCGGTATGCTTCAAGCCATGGATGAGAATGCTATGAGTGCTGTGCCACTGCTGTCATCCAGCAGAGCTGGACCAACTGTGGGGCAGGTACTTGTTCTGCTCTGAAGACACATTTTTGGGAGTTGTCGCTCAGCTGAGTGAACTGCTGAGATGCAGCAACTTAAATAACCATGGTGCCCCCAAGTTAGAGCCCTGCACAAATAGTTCTTGCACTGCTCAGTCCCTTTGTCTCCTCTAGAGTACTGGTGTCCTGAGTGCTGCTCACCTGGGAGGAGATGGGAGCACCAAGGGCAGCGCTGAACACATCCTTATAAAATTATTATTAATGTCTCCTTCAGGCCTGAAATTCCTCTTGCTAGTCTTCCATTCTATTAAATGCTTCGCAAACCAGAGCAAAGGAAGAGACATGAAGAGTTGAATTTCACTGCCTTGTTTGGAATTGGGTGGAAATCCTGGAGATGGATCTCTTAGGAGTCTGTCTTCCAATTGGGTTAGATGCACAGGTAACAGTAAAAGGACTTGTGGCATTTTTGGTAATTCTTTTTCTAATTGCTTTATGTTTGCAAAGAACTCTTAAATAATGATTTAGGGCTTATGGGGTTTTTTCCCTCCACCATATTAGTCCAACTCTGTACTGTAACAGAGCTCAGGAATGTTTACTGTGGCAACGACAGAAGTCCTGCTTTAAACACTGAGACCAGCAATGGTCTTCTTTAGTAGTAGGGTGAACCACTGCAGTGACAGTGCATGTAGGCTTGAGGGTAAGAGGGGTAAAGAAGTGACTGCATTGCCAATTTTGGGACATGTCTTAAGTCGAGCTGAGGGAAGAAATGAGAAGTTCAAAGGAAAGTTGGCTCTCACAGGGACAAGTAATGGAGAGATTCACAGAAATGGCTTTGCCAGCTCTCGAGTTTTGCAACCGCTGGGTTTTGTTAAAAATCTGGCCTTGCAGCCTTGTGATTACAGGAGTTCTTCTTCAATAACCAATAGGTAGGAAAAAGTGAATGAGCTATATACCATAAAGTTCAAATACAGCAGGCTAAAGCAAAGCAGACCCCAAAGAAGCTGACTGGCCACAAGGCTTTTGGAAGGATTTGGGTTGCGTTTTAAAACAATGTCTTTTCAGTTTCCATGTGCTGAGAGGTTGGGGGTTGGCTACCTACTTGTGAGCAGTTGTAGAATTAGAGCTGTCGGTGGACTGTTACATGTGTGAATTTTGTCTCTCTCTGGCCCAGCACTTGAGGACTTCTGGCGTTCACCACGAAGTCACTCGCCTCTCCTGCTCATGCAGATGGGCAGCACAGGGAGGGAGGTGTGGTAAAAACAGTTGTGTTTTATTGTTGGAGCAGAAGGCATTATCTCCTGGACAGCATTCTTGCTGTGTCTTAGCTGTTTCCTCAAATGTCCCTTTATTGCAGGAGCAATGGATCGCCCCAGCTACCTGGAAGAGGACTATTCTAGCCTGGATGGGCTGGACGATGACGTGTTTCACTCTGATGACTTTGGACTTGCAGGTCAGCCTGGTGAGATGACTGCAACTGGCTTTTTCACACAGAACCAGTCCTACAGCTGCCTTCTGGGGAGGTTTCAACTATTCCCCCTCACACACTGCTGTGGTCCCGGTATCAGGCATCCTGAGCAGCAGGACAAGGCAACTCAAACACTCAGCCCGTCCTCTTCCAGTCAGGATGTTATGTTGCCTTGTGGAGTCACTGAAGAGCCACGGAGACTCTTCTATGGTAAGAGCACTCCAGTGTCATTAGCTTTGCAGCAAGGAAACTGTCCCTTTAGCACTTCCCCAATCAAGCAAGGTTTCTTTCATTAGGGCTTGTTATTAAAGGACTGAAATTATTTTGCTTTGGTCCAACTCCCTCAAGAAAGACAACTTATTTTCTTACCTTTGCTTGTCCACTGCAGGAACCAGGCACTTGCTCATTGCTTCTGCTGTCTTTGATACTCCCTCTCTTTCGTTTTTTGGCTTTATTTTATCACATTTGATTTTTCTGCTAGATGTTCAAGTGCTCACTGTACCTTATATCCTACAATTTGCCTACATTTTTTAACTACTACTGGTCTCATCTGCATAGGAAGACTCCTAGAAGTTTTCAGTGGAAAGAGGGAAATGCAAAAAGTTAGAGCTTTTAGGCTCTTTACCAGAGTTAAAGTTGTTGAATAAATAGCATGTCCGTGCAGTATTTTACTAGCAACTGATGCGACACCATTCAGTTTTGTGTATCCAATTCAGCTTTAATTCAAATCAGTACCACTAAATGCCAGAAAACTGAGAAAAGTCTGAGAGAAAAGATATTGCAACCTCTAAGAGGAGACAGCTTGAGGCAGAGATCTTCTAAAACTGCAAAACTGTCATCAAAAAAACCCAAGGACTTGACTGAACTATAAACAAGCAAAAAGAACCAATTGTAAGATCCTGCCACTCATTTCACTATGGGAAGCAACACAATGCTCTGCTTAATCTATATAAGTCTATTTAAAAGCTGAGCAAATGTTTTACTCCATGATTACAGTACACAGTCATTGTTTGGGCTTCAGGAACTGGACTTTAACATGAGTCAAAAATTTAGGATTACGTGCAGCTCTTTCCTCCATGAAGCGTACTGAGTAGAAAAGGTAATCTTCGCACTGGACGAATGACTCTTCTGATCTCTGCTTTGTAGGGAATGCTGGTTACCGTTTACATGTCCCTCCAGCTGGCTTTGGGTTGGATCCACACCTCCAAGAGGAACCTCAGGAAGGTCAGCAGGAAGCACGTGCTGAGGTGCAGATTGCACGGAAGTTGCAGTGCATTGCCGACCAGTTCCACCGGCTCCACATACAGAGGGTAGGGTGTCTCTGGAGGGGAAGATGGGGATTTACTTATCTAGAAGACTGGCACCAGGCATCAGCTAAGTGGGCTGTACTTCCAGGTAGCAGAATGCCAACAGCAATAAAATGGCAGGAGTATCCTGATAGATTTTTGCTTATGCTAGATTGCTGGCTCTTCCTAAAGATTGGCAAGGTGGAGGGAAGAGAATGTGTGGGATTCCATTTTCTGCCTGGGAAGGTAGCTATTTTGTGTTAGCTGCTGCTATTCCAGCTCTTCCAGTTCATTAGCAGCGGGGTTTATGAGGCTTTTCCCAGGGATCTCCTTTCTTTCTATTACAGCTTTTACTCTTCTTTTCCACTTTTGTCACCACCACCATCTTCTCTTCTGTGGAATAAGTGGCCATCTGTGGCTTATGTCAGCTCCTCATCTTGGAGATAACAAGAAGCCTGGAGTCTGTTCTGACACTCCTTGTTGTCTAAGGGTAGTTCTATATAATGTTATAAAGTATATTTAGATCGTGCTAGACTTGATAGCAGCTCCTCTGTCAGACAGTCCTAGCTAGCATCTCAGACTTGTGAGTAACTTCCTCACAACAAAAGACAGCTGTAAGGTGCCATCAGGTCTGAAAACCACACTCCAGATTCTTGATTTTGTTTCTTAAAGAAAAAAAGAAAAGAAAAAAGAAACCCTGCTATTCAAAGAAACAAAATAACCATCATCCCCAAAATCCCTGATTCTTTCTTCCTTGCCCTTCTTCCCCTGTTGAGTAAATGGAAATCTCAGCCCATGCAGAGCTGGTCAGAGGTTCCAGAGGTTTGGCAGTAGGTAATAGTTTGCCACTTCTATGCAAGCCCAACAAGGAGAGTGTATCTACTTATATATGAAGAAATTTTGCTGACTTCAGAGGGGGACAGAAAGTTTATCTCACTCCAAGTGAGCTGCTGCTCTGTTAACTGTGGGATCTGTTGCAGCCCTTCTCAAAGGTAAGTGAGGATCTCTGTCCTGGCCAGAGAATTTGGCTTGTGGCTGGGCAAAGGTTTGATCCTCTCTGTGTCATCTGAGACATAAGGGAATTCTGTGACTCATCTCCTAATAGCAGGAGGATTAAAGAAACTGTAAAAGGAATACTACTCTATAGAAATGTAGATAGGGCTATGAACGTCATTTAGCAAACTGCAGGAATAACGAGTTACCACGAGATTTTTAACACGTGTTGTTTGTGGTTGAATGGGGTTTTCCGCGGTGGCGCCTTTTCGCCAGCGATAGCTGCAGACCCCACTCCCTCGCCAGGCTCTCACAGGAAAGGGAAGGTTTAACCATCCCGCCGGAGGAGCCCTGCACTGAACTGGTGGAACTGGTTGTAACTTGACCCCTTTCATCTCAGGGGAGTGTCCATATCTGATGTGTGTGCCTTGGAAACGCGTCCAGGAGCCCACCGAACCCCCCAGGCCCTGCCCGGGGCGGGCTCTTTGCTGGCCCAGCCCGGTGCCCCCCGAGCTCCCGTGCCCGCCCCGCTGCCAGGGCCGGCGGCCAGCCCCGGCGTGTGGGCCCGTAGTAAACAAAGGCGTCCGGCTGCGCTGGGCGGCCCGGCCCGGCCCGGCCCCTGGGGCCCGGCAGAGGAGGGGCTTCGCTCTTTGTTTGAACTGGAAGAGCAACAAGTTGTAAAGGGGACGGGAGCGAGGGCCTTCGGCCATTTGAATTTGAAAACAAAGCATAAGGAAAAAACACCCAAAACAAAACAACCTGAAAACTTAACTTGAGGACAGAGTAGTTCAGCCAGTGGTTATCCACAGCCTGACCCTGGGATAGGCCTTGGCATTTGGATCTGTTAAGGGATTCTTTCTTGTTTGTCAGGAAAACTGAGTACCGAGCCACATATTGGTGTCCAAGGCACTGTTCCCATGGAGTGTTTTGTTGTCATGCCCAATCCCTTCCCTCCCAGCCCTGCATGGAGGATTTCCTTTGGCTTTTGGCAGAGATCCCCTGTGCAGAAGCCCCTCTGTCCTATGTGCAGTGACTTTTCCTAGCCCGTTGCTGAAGAAGCAAGCGGTCTGCCCCTGGAGACACGTGAACTGGTTCACAATGTGCTGTGGTTTGGAAGGGGAAGCCTCTGAGACATGAAAAACTGGGCTATCGTTTATCTTGCTGTGAAACTAATCCCTGATTTGGATGCCCTGTTCCAGCTTGTCTCAAACATTTGGTCAAAACCAACTTTCCAGAGTGGTGTCTTGAATCAGATTTAAAATACCACAAAGTTAGTCACACCAGTGTGGTCTTGTGAAGTTCTGAGAGAGAGCAAGCTGGTTTTCAACAAGCTGTGCCTCTTTTCGAAGCCTACAAAACATCTTATCTGTGAACCTGGGAAAAGAAAACCTGTGTGCCCTTTCAGTGGGAGTTAGGAAAGACTTTTAGTATTGGAATAGTGCATCCAGTTAGCTCAAGAGTTGCCCTCATGGCTCTTGAGTTCTGTGAGACTCTCCAGCAGTTCAGGTATGGCCCCCATTCTCCTGCTGCAGCAGCAAGTCTGTGTTGACACAAAACTTGCTGGTTAATGTACATCCCTGGCTGAGAGAGAAACTGAGCAGGCAATAGCTGCTGAGGTTGACGTCACTGAGTTGTCATTGGACTCAGCTGCATGCATGGTCTAACCCCATCCCACACTGGGAACCCTGGAGAGTCACTGTTATCTCTTCCCTGGGCTTCTGGAGCTAAATGGTATTTATTCTGTGGTTCTTGGCTATACAAAAGATTCTTGGGTATGCATCTTGTAAGAATAAGAAAGTTGGCTGCACCTATGCTTGCTTTTGGCATGTACACCATTTTCAGAGTTTCATTTCCTATTAATATGTTAAACAGAAAAAAGTAGTTTAAAACCTGGCTTTTTCATCTTTAGAACAGTGCTAGAGCAATAACATGACATTCCCTAGAACTCTGTGGCTTTTATCTCCTTAAGATGCTGAATTTATTGTAAGAGGGGCTTGCGCAACCCTCTATGTTCCTAAGTAGCAAAGCCTGTTTCAGGTTGATCCAGTTTGCAAAAGTTCTGCAGAATGACATGCGAGACTCATCTGTGTTTTCTTGAGTTCTTTACTACCTCTTACCTGATTGAAGCTGTGTTTCTTCTGGCAAAGTTCCCCCGTTGTACTTTTTTCACCCTACCCCTGGAAAACTAAGCTAGAGCCAAGCCGTGTTTTCTTCAGGAGAACCCAGGACCTCCCACCTCCTTCTTGGTTTGGAGCAAGTGTGCCTTTGCCTGTGAACTGCTTGCTGTAGCCCAGTCTGTGGCTGAGCTCAAAGACTGTACTCTGAGATTATGGAGAACAGAGCTGAGCTTAGGGGATCTGCTGGTTGGTTGGCTGAGATGTGCTGCCCACACCCCATATGCCCAGGCTGTGGCAACAAGTGCTTGGGCTCTGCTTCAGGTCCTGAGCAGGTCCTGAGTGAACTTAAGTTTCCTTGCCTTGAGGAGGGGCTTCAATCTGTGCAGAACCAACAGTGTATTTCACAACACGATGTGCTGCTAGCTGGGATGTGAGTAGACAATCAGGGACAGCGGTGGCAGCAGTGTAAAGCCACCCCAGAGGAGCACAGGGTTATACAGGGGTGGGGTGGATGACACTGTATATCAGTATCACACCCCTTCAGTTTGACTTGCTCCATTGAGACACTGGAATGCTACAGCTTTTTTCCAAATAAAATAACTCTTTTTAAGCAGGCTGCAGCTTTGAGGGGACTGCTTTTATTGCATCTCTTCTTCATGGAGATAAGATCACTTCACAGGGGATAAAATTGTCTCTTTAAGAGCCAAGGAGTGGTAGCCTTGAACAGTTCTGGGCTCAGGTCCAAGCAGAGCCACTGACTTGCTGTATGACCTCAGACAAGTCTCTTGACCTCCTTGTGCTTCAGTCAACCCATCTGGAAAGCTTGGTTTAAAAAAAGCTGAGCCTCAATGAGAACCAGATGCTGAATCAGAGCTGAGCTTTCTTGAGTAAATAAGTGCATTACAAACAACAACAAAGCCCCTTTCCAACACATCAGGAATCCTGCAGTTGATTTGGATATGCTGACCATGCTCAAAAAGCCTCTGTGGATCTAGCTATGGAAAACTTTGTTTCTCTGAATTCCTCAGTTGGTTCAGCAAATAATTCTCACCATTGCTGCAAAAGGCTTGAGCAGCCTGTGGAACATAAATGCCTGCATCCATACTGGCTGCGGGCAGACAACTAGGCATGTACCTGTTTGCCTCAACCTAATGACAATGACATTTCCTCCTATCCAGGAGGAAATGCTATTTTCCTTTGAAAGTGAAACCTGTTACAATTTGCATATTTTTTTCCCTCTGTCTCTCATGAGAGTTATCAAAATCTCCTCTGAGACACTTCTGCTTATGCAACAGGAGTCTGCATCTCTTTTCAGAAAGTCATTGGCATGAGAGAGTGGGCACACAGTGCTACATGTGCATCATTTATCACAAACTTCATCAGGCTTTTCTTCATTGTTTATTAAGGGACAACCACGGAATTTTTAACAGTTGCTTTTTTTACACTAGTATTGTTTGCAGGAAACCATTCTTTATAATGACTTTATGTTTTAGGAAAAATCTTCAAAAAAGTTTCCCAATAATGTAGTGCAGAGACTCAGACTGTCCTGCGACTGAGCCTGTAGCACCGGCAGCTCCATACTTTACTTGTACCTGCAGTCTCTTTGAGACTTGGGTAAGTGTTGTCATTCTTTTGTTTCCCTAGCAGGTCAGTATGTTTCAGGATCTTCCCAGCTGGCTAGTGCTTGCTGGTCCCTGCTGCTGCTGTGCACAGCAGTGGGTCACCTCTTCAGCTCCGCTTTCTGCACGTTGCCCATCAGCGCAGGACTTGAATCTCCAGCTGAGGATGCAGGAGCATGGTGAGGGAGTGAACTCCTGAAGTGAGTGAGCCTGGTTTAGAGGGCAGGGGGTAGAGTGAGTGTGAGGTTGGGAAGACTGAGATGTAAAACAAAGTTCTCGCGGGCTACAGAACTGGAGTCCTAGGCTTGAGGAAAGGAGGTTGCCATAGGGGGAAGAAGAATTCTTATGGTCAGTGGTGTCAGAAACTTGACATGAGGAAGTGGAGACATTTTTTTGCTTAATGTTGTTAAATTTTCATTCTTTTTTCTTTTTTTTTTTTTTCATTTTGACCAATAACAATGAAGGAAGAGGTGGGCTTGGAAGTGCACCTTCCCCTATGCATACAAATGATACAACAACCTATTGCCCCTTGCCTAGCACCCGTTCTGAAATCCTGCTGCCTGTGGAGCTGATTACTTGACATTTAGGTTAACAGAAACTTGCTGGACCCTTTCACATCTGATCTGAAATGGTATTCTTTGGTATGTTAAGAAACTGAGAAAAGTACATAGTTATGCCACTGTATAAATCCATGTTTCTCCCATATCTTGAATGTTACATGCAATTCTGCTTTTCTTCTTCCAAAATGATGCAGCAGAACTGCATCTTTGAAAAGGTTCAGAGAAAGTCAAGAAGGATGATGGAACTTCCATATGAAAAATGAAAAAAATGGGCTAGGACTGCTAAGCTTAAAAAAAGACACAAAGCAAGAGGGAAGCAATATTAAACAGAAATCAAAAGTGACATGAAGGAGATGGATAGACCAACTTCTCCCAGTACAAGAACTAGGAAAAATCAAGTCAAGCTAGTAGGAGCCAGTTCAAAGTAAATGAGGTATTTTTTTTCATGCAACAGGTAGCTCTGTGGAGTTCCTTGTCAAGGCATATTGTGCATCCCAGTGCTTTATCTGGGTTCAAGGGGAATCGAGACAAGTTTATGGCTACTGAAGCAGACATTAAATAAACAGAAACCAGATCTGACTCGGGAAGTCCTAAGCTCAAACTAGTTAGATGCTGAAAGAGTATTAGGGGGACCTATTGCATGTACTTGCCCTCAGCTTTTCCTCAGGCAGCCACGTAATGCTGCTGTTGGAGGCTGGGCTATGCAAACTCTTGATGCAAGTCACATACAACCACTGTGTATCAGTTAAATAAAAACCACAAAACTTTTGCATCAGCCTAATCTAGCCTTCTTCTCCATGCTTTCAGCTGACAAGAGATTTAAATATATTATGGGTTTGTTCCTGCTTAAAATAGGGGATAATGTTAAAAAGCAAAACTTCCTGCCTAGCTCTGGTAGAGGAAGTGGGCAGAGGATAAGGGAGCTGGGTGGCACGAGAGCCCTGCAAGCTCTGTGCAGTGGTGCACTGTGAATCCTTCACCCTGCCAGACACAGAACTGCGCTGTCTTCAGGCAGTAGGGCCACAACCTCAAAAGACCAAGACTGCCCACAATAAAGAGCACAAAACAGTTCTCTGGGACAGCACAGGTGAATGGTTTTGCAGTATTTCTAACATCAGTGCAGTGACGTTAATGTTCAGTGCTGAT